GCAGTCTGTTCCACATCATCACAAAGGGCAAAGGGGCAGGTAAGTGCAGGTACCAACATCAGGTGATGGACAGCCAGCAGATGGGTGGGTTAGTCATATGATTGCCCCATGGTGGTAGGGTCTATCTGTCACAAAGATCAGGAAGGGCTGATTAGGTGAACCTGGCTCATATGGGTAGAGGCAAACACTTGAAATAGAAAACCTAATTAGTAACAAGCTGGGGAAGGGGTTGTAAAATAATTATCAATAGCTACCTCTGAGAAACTGGTTTTGTCCTTGGCTAGTGATTGGAGGGTAAGTTAAGTGAACTGCTAGAAAAACATGAGATTTAGGAATGTTAAAATGACTGCTCATTGGGTATATTAAATCCACATTATGCCCTTTCAACCATTATTGACAAAAAGTGCTTGTTACTTAGTTTCCATACAATACTGTGCTAGTCACGTAGGCAATGTATAGGTACCAACAACCCTGAACTTTGAAAAGCGAACCGGGCTGGGCTCGGTGGCTCAGCCTATAATCCTGCCCCTTGGGAGGCTGAGGTGAGTGGTTGCCTGAGTCCGTGGGTTTGAGACCCGCCTGGGCAACTTGGCAAGATTTCATCTCTACAATAAATCAAAAAATTAGCCAGGCGTGGTAGCACACGCCTGTAGTTCCAGCTACTTGGAAGGCTGAGCTGGATGGATCGCTGGAGCCCAGCAGGTCGAGGCTGTGGTGGCCAGGAGCGGCCACTGCATTCCAGTCTGAGCGACAGAGTGAGAGTGAGACTCCAACTCAAAAAAAAAGAAAAGCGAACCGTAAAACTTGAAAGATGAACAGAACCATATATATATATATATATATATATATTTTTTTTTTTTTTTAAGTTGGAGTCTCACTGTCACTCAGGCTGAAGTGCAGTGACATGATCACAGCCTCCACAGCCTCAACCTCATGGGCTCAAGCGATCCTTCCCTCTCAGCCTTCCAAGTAGCTGGGACTACAGGAGCGTACCATGCCTGGCTAATTTTTGATTTACTGTAGAGATGAGGTCTCACCAAGTTGCCCAGGCTGGTTTGGAACCCCCGGGCTCAGGCAATCCTCTCGCCTCCACCTACCAAAGTGCTGGGATTACAGGCGTGAGCCACTGCACCTGGCCGAGCAGAACCATTTTTAAAAAACCAGAAGCCCAGCTCTGCTCCTTGGATTCGAATTCAGAAATAAACCTCTTTCTACCAGTTTCCTGCTCCTTGATTGGTATTGAGGGAGAGCAATCCTGCATTTCTCGGACCATCACAGCAGGTCCGAGGAGCTTTGCAGGTGTCCTGGTAGTGTCATAGCAGGACCCTGGGGACGTGAACACCAAGGCTGGCTTTATGAGAAGGACCCAAACAACCCGGAATTATCTTTTGGAGGGTGGGCTCCTTTGTGGTACAGGCTTCCCCTGACATATAAGTGTACTAGGAACCCATCAGCCTCAGTGTACCAGCTAGCGTTATTGTAAGAGGCTGTGTTCAGATTCAGTGAGCATTTTGGGGAAATTCTTTTAACACATTTGCTCATTTCATGATGGGTGATGTACAGCGCACCTGCCCACACCATGCTGAGTGTAGAGCAGTTTTTGACTCCAAACAGCATGACCCCGTGTCCCACCCTCCCTATTCACCTGATCTCAATCTGAGCAACTTTTTTTTGTTTGTTTCCCTGGATGAGAAAATTCCTCTGCTAAGCGTGGTGGTTCACACCTGTAATCCCTGCACTTTGGGAGACAGGGGCAAGAGAATTGTCTGAGCCTACAGGTTCGAGACCAGCCTGGGCAACATGGGGAGAATTTGTTGTTTTTTTATTTTTATTTTTTATTTTTATTTATTTATTTTTTTGAGTTGGAGTCTCACTCTGTCG